ACAGTAAATAATCGCGAGCGAATGTCTCCGAAACGATAGCTTTGCTAGCGAGATATTCAGGATGGCAAGCGTGTGTCACGGACACATCTGAACATCGATGTTTGGCTGGGTATATTCGGCGCTTTCTCCTGAGGTGACTGCGCTAAACACCAAACATCTCGCTAGCAGATGAACGGAAATCTTACCTGGATTAATTTTCGATTTGTGAATCGAATGTCATCAACAATGCAATACTAACAATAGAATTCAACAATATTATTCATTGTTGCGTTTTATTAAATTAAAAAAAAATCTTCATATTAATAAAGTCTAAAAATAATATTAATCCAAATATATAAACTTTATATAAGTTTATATATTTGGATTAATATTATTTTTAGACTTTATTAATATGAAATGAAATTATATTTAAAGATTATAGAATTAAACGAATGACTCCATTAACCTCGTTAGTAAGATGACATTTGTAATGCATTTACTTTTAATATAAATATTGGTTTTAGAAAATTTAGTTTGATCTTACATTTATATACATTTAATGATCTTGGAAGATAATAATAATAAAGTGAAGATAATCACCACTCGTTCGCAGATAAGAATTTGTCGGAGGGTCCAATGTCCGAGCGGATTTGGAGGCAGCTATCGCTCTTGGGGATCCCGGATTGAATCCGGACGGGTCGTTGCCTACAAGAATTTATCGGGGAACTATCTGTTTGCATATGTCGACTCTTGTGTCGTGGTGTTACTCACTTTCATTGTCTAGCCGAAACGACGATGGACATTTGATAAAGAAGATCGTCTTAAGAGTTTGTGCCATTAATGGAGACTAAGAAGATTTTATCACGCTCTTAATGAATGGTTTGGCTGGGTGATGAGGGATAGTGTTTGATGCAATTTTCTTTACACTATTTGTGGCTGTTAAATTTTCAAAATCGGTAATATGATGTATGCTCTATTTCTCGCGCTACTTTTGCAATTTAACGATCGATGTTCAGAGTAATATTTCCATAGTATTTAACAGGATACATAAATCATAAGACTGTAGAGGCAAGCCGTTAAGCAATCGAACGAACCAACGAACGGCTTAACAAAGCCAACGTTCTATATCGGAATTTGAACATTTCTATATTCGAATTCACATTTTATTAAAATTACTAAAAATATACGCATCATCCGAACAAAATATGAGTGACGTTGTCATTCGCTATTTTTTACCGATCAAATTTTATCAAGTTCCGTCCATTCGTTCCCGAAATATCGATATTTCTCGTTTCGTTTAAAAATTCTTTTTTTCGTCTTCGGCCAGAAAAGTTGTTTCGTGAAATGTCCGCTAGGGGCGCCCAATATTCCGTTATTTAAAAATTTAATATTGGGCGTTTCTACCCCCTATGTAAATAATCCCAATTAAAAGCTGCTTTTTTACGGCACAAAACGTATTCGTATATACAATGTCGTAACTAGGCAGGTGCGACGGGTGTACCAGCACAGGGCCCACTTGGAAGGGGGGCCCAAAATACATGTATTTGTTTTATTATTTTTCCAAACCTAATTAATTAAGGGGCCTAAATGCAAGTTCTTGCACAGGGCACAGGAATGGCTAGTTACACGGCACTGAGGGGGTATGTAACAAAATAATAATTACATATTTGGAACATATATAAAGTCATTAAATATAAACTGTAGATTGTAAATTATTAGGCTGCTTGACAATTGCTAGGAAACAGCAATAATTTTTTGTGAAATGCCACACGGTCACTCAAATCAACATCGTGCAATCCCTACAACTTGCATAAATGGTGTTCATCGACAGTCATTCTCACTGTGTAAAATTTGTACCTGTGGGAATAACATGATACAGGTTCAAGACAGTAATGTCAAGTTTCAATGGAAATTTTTGTTGAATACAAATGCAAATACATATCAGTTGTAGATGCCTCAACATCATGGATGAACAATTTTTAATATAAACACATATATAATGTCTCTAAGTCCAGTAGTTATATTAAAACCAAATGATTTTCAGATAGGCCAAGTTATTCAGTTTTAATGATTAATAGTAGCAATAATATAACCTGATTTAATCTGGCAATTATTTGGTTTTAATATAAACATTTGTTTTTAATCTTGTTATAAATAAAAAGTTATAATTTCTAAGATGGCCAAAGATAATGTCTTATTAAAATCAAACAGTCCTAATTCTATTCAGTAAAAATTGAATATATCCATTATTTAGGCTACTAAAATATATATATATATATTTAGAATTATAAATATCTTTATAATACTATTGATTTTATTTTTTATTTTATTAAAAGTTTTATAATAATTTTTTTATTATTATTAGATCTAATAGATTGGATCAGGTTGATCAATCTGCAGTTAATGAAGAAAATCCTAGTGCGAGAAACAATAAATTTTATGTTAACAAAGCATATGATGATCGATATGATGATATCGACCTTGACCAAAATGAAATAAAGGAGGCAAATCATTCTAAAAGTAGCAAAAATTATAATGAAGATCAGAAAAACATAACTAACAACTATGAAAATCTTCATTCTTTAAATGGTGAAACAGAAACAAATCAGATTGAATTTAAAGCAGAACAGCACAAGTTAAAAAATCTTCAGAATGAAACTGAACTTGATTCTTCAAATATTTCTGAAAGTGAAAGGCATGAAATTGATGAAAATAATATTGAGAATGATCAAAATAAAGAGCCTATGGTTATTATTAATAAGAATGAAAATGTTCTCTTAAAAGATGAAGATGAAGATCAAACTGAAAGTGACGATGACGATTCAGAATTTAAAAACAGAAGATTTTCCCATAGAGATTCATTAACCAGATTAGCAAGTTTCTCAGAACACGTACAACATCAGTCATCAGATGATGACGATATACCTATTGAACAAGGTCCTAAAAGATCAATAGTTAGTTTTAATGATATTACAGAGTACATTCCATAAAATTATAATGTAATTTATATAAACTGTATATAAATATTAAAATATATAAAAATATTAAATAAAATTTTCAATTTTAATTATTCCTAATGTAACAAAATTTCACTTTTCACTTTTCATTGACTCTTTGCTAATACTTATTGTAATACATTTCTTTTTTTAGAAGTTGTCAAAAATGTCATTTAAACTGATATGAAAAGTAGTATTTAAAATTGTAGTATTTAATTATTAATACTCCGTACATTAAATATATGACAGAGTAAATATGTATAACATTGAGAAATTTGAAAAGCTTTTGAATGTAGAAACAATTTTCTTTAATCTCTACAAAGTTTAGAAAGTTGCATTTTTTTCTTAATATAACAACAAAAGTAAATGAGACAGCTCAAAAGAGAATACTTATGACAAGATCAATCATTAAAACTTTGAGAAAAGAAATATAAGAAAATATCAGGATTGTGATTAAGAATAAAAAATGTACAATTAGTTAAAAATTAAGATGCTATTGTTTTCTAAATATAAATAATAGGTATGTATGGAAAATAGCCATACTGTGGGGAAGTTCCCTACAGCTTAGAGAGTTTCCTGTGCAGGTACAAAGGAAATGTAACCAATAATATAAACACTCTACAGCTCCAACAAAAGAACCAAAAGTTTATTTCACCAAAAGTTTATTTTACGTCCAGTTAAACCTATCACAATATATACAGGGTTCCTGTCCTGAAAACTCGGGAAAGTCAGATACAGTCGACCCCCCTATAAGATAATTGATTTTTCCGTTTTATCTGAATTACATGTTGTACGAGTCACTTAGATTTTACAAATATGTGAGCCATTCATAGTCCGGCACACGTATTTGTAAAATCTAAGTGACTCGTACAACATGGAATTCATATAAAACGGAATAATCAATGATCTTATACGGGGGTCGACTGTATTTTTATTATTGTTTGGAAAAAAAATCAAGGATGCAGAATATTCAAGAAGGATGCAGATTTCAGGACCCAAAATTTCTCCGAAACATACAAAATAATAGCACACGAAATAAAACTATAATTTATGAACCAATTAATAATTAAGCTACTACTACATAGTTTGGAAAATTTAAATTAAATCATACAGATAATTAAATAGGCCTACCATACAATTTGTCATGTGAAACTAAACTGATAAGTTAACAAAAATATTTTAGATTAAAAGGACACTTAAAGCATGTACAGTACAATTATCAACTTGATGTAATTTATTGATTAACAGAAATAAAATTGAAGTCAATACCATGAATAATTAGTTTTAATGTTAGCACAGGCAGTAATTAACATCCAAAAATTAAAAATTTAATTATGACAATGACATCAGAATTTTTACAAGGCTCAAAAATTTCTGTTAAGAATGAACTTTAAGAAGGAACACCAAACATAGTTTAAAAAGGAAAATTTCAGATTTGGCAAGAAAATTTTTATATTATTGAATTATTTTCCCTCCATGGTCATTTTGTCCAACTTCTAAAGGAACCCTTCACACTATTTAAATCAAATTATTTTTTAAAAAATTAATGGAAAAAATTACATACATTTACAATTTAAATAACTTTATTAAAACATTATATATATTTTTTAAATTACTTCAAATTTTAAAACAACACAAGCCCAGTCTAGGCCCTGTTAGTTAATACTGGTTTCCTCATGTGCATAGCCCATTAATGGCTGAATGGATAAAACACTGATAGTTCATTGCAAGTTTGCATCTCAACAATGGAATGGTCACACGACAGTTTTCTGGATGATCTTCTTATATAAAACACCTAAATGGGAACAATTTTCTATCAAAAGTCGTCCTTGACTTCCCTGTAGAAATCTGCCAAAAAGTGATGACTCCTTTGCAGATTATCCAAGTGTTGCATTGAATTCTCCCATCAATCATGAGAGGTTGCTTTCCTAATCTTCTCCTAAAATTTCCTTCTTTGATACATTTGAATCAAGTCAGATACAGAAAATATCTGATATCTCACAATGAAAATTTTTTACCAAAACTGATTTCAAATCTTTTAAGAACAAGGACATAACTGCAGTCGGGTCTTGTCTGTTTGTCTTGCACTCTCTTTTTTCTATGTTTTCTACCGCAGACGATGGACTCGTCTTCTAAAGAAAATACAAAATATTATTAAAATTTAAATGTTTAAATATAAGAGGGGAAACATATTTTCGATCGGTTTTTATGAGTTACGTTTCCGTTTTTATTTTCTTATTTCTGTCTTACCAGTAACAAAGTTAAGAATGTCTTGTTTTTGCGCTACAGTATGGATACATATACAAATTCAATTCAATATATANCATCTTTTAATACGGTATAAATAAAGTTATAAAATAATTAAATTCATATCAAAATGAGTTTAAAATGTATACAGTTATTTATATTTACAAATTGATTTAATTAATAATTGAAAATTGAATTAATATTTAAAAAATAGAATAAACTTACGTTAATTTATACGGAAACTTTTCACTATTTTTAAAATATAAATAATAAAAAAAAAGCTTTTAGGAAATTTTCAACCAACTGAAATATTAGCATAATCGATAACACTAACCTTGGGAGGTTGATTTGTCTTCGAGTAATTTATTCCTGACAAAGTATCGTTTAAAAATGCTAAGATAAAGTTTCCGTTGATCAAAATTGCTTAGTGGATTGCGATAATTAATTGACTTTTTTTCGCTAATTAACGCGGAATAGTACACACTTTAAACTGTAACAAGAGCTATAAATGTTAAATGTAGAGCTTAATAGTTAGCTTATAGGATATATTTAGTAACGATACTTAAAAATAAACTAAATGTTTAAATGTTTACTTATAAACTTCATTCGAGAAAGAAAAGATTTCAGTTCATTAAGTAGCATTAAACTTCAGAGAATTAAGTAAAAAATGAGTTGGGCTCTATTTTTATCAGTTCTCAAATAGTAAATTATTTCATATTTATATTACTCAAAATTAATAATAATAAAAAGAATAACTAAATATTTTATTATTATAATTTGAAGTTATTCTTTGCATGGAAAAACAGAAAGAACTTCTTCAATATACAGTATTCCTCTTTATGGTTCGCAATAAAACGACAGAATGGAGCTCGTTGTAAAATATGTGAACGTCGCATTATTATAATTTAATCGGAAGAAATTTCATTGACATAAATTAGATCATTTGATATAATTCAATATATATATATATATATATAGTTGATCGAATTATTATGACATTTGGTTAATATTATCTTAGGTATTGAGATGGCGGCGTTTCCGGTAATCTCGTATCGGGGTACCGAGTGACGCTTGCGATAGAGGGCGCTGAATTTTAACGCGGCGGGATATGCAAATTAATTCCGCTAAACGGACGAGGGGCGTGTGCGCGTTCGATTTGCGTGACGACGAAGAAGAAGGTGGTCGGTTTGTTACGAAAATTTGTTTTTATTTCATTTAAATCGAAGGGTTTTTTTCCCCTCGTTGTTTTTATTCCGAATGAGTGATTTGGACGTTACCTCCGGAGAGAGTTTTGGCAGGGACGTATTACCTCCCGGGACTTTTTCCGTCTTCTCGAAAGTGACTATTCCGAATTAGGTCTGGATCCTGGAATCGACGAAGGGTTCGAAAATTTGCGGTGAAACTAGGATTACGGCACGTTGTCGACAAGTGTGCTCGAAATGTCGAAACCTTGCACAAAGTCGTTTATCGCGACGATAGGAAATCCTGTGCAACGAGATGTCAAAAATGCAGTTTTGACGGACGAATGGAAGGGGTACAACCACATAGACGACCTGGAAGGCATAGAAATAGCCCGCGAGACGGTTAATCATTCGGAGAGTTTTGCGAACCCGAAAACGGGTTCACACCCAAAACGTAGAGAGATTGCGGGAAAACTCGAAAAAGGAGAAAAACCTACCGAAACGTTACACGGAAGACCTATCGGATTCGTACACGTACAGTTTCGTGTATAAAAAATACCACGATCGGCCCTCGAAACAACCATGCGAACGTTTCTACATTTTTGCGCAACATTTAAGAGTAACATATATCCCGGATCCGGAAGATTACCATTATGGGAAGAGCCCGAGACCGTGCCCGCCGCTCCCGTTAATAAAAGAAGAAAGAGAAAACGCGGAGGAACAAACAGGGAAAAAATGGAAAAACAAGACATCACGCAAAAAGTAGGAAAAAAANCTATCACAATATATACAGGGTTCCTGTCCTGAAAACTCGGGAAAGTCAGATATTTTTATTATTGTTTGGAAAAAAAATCAAGGATGCAGAATATTCAAGAAGGATGCAGATTTCAGGACCCAAAATTTCTCCGAAACATACAAAATAATAGCACACGAAATAAAACTATAATTTATGAACCAATTAATAATTAAGCTACTACTACATAGTTTGGAAAATTTAAATTAAATCATACAGATAATTAAATAGGCCTACCATACAATTTGTCATGTGAAACTAAACTGATAAGTTAACAAAAATATTTTAGATTAAAAGGACACTTAAAGCATGTACAGTACAATTATCAACTTGATGTAATTTATTGATTAACAGAAATAAAATTGAAGTCAATACCATGAATAATTAGTTTTAATGTTAGCACAGGCAGTAATTAACATCCAAAAATTAAAAATTTAATTATGACAATGACATCAGAATTTTTACAAGGCTCAAAAATTTCTGTTAAGAATGAACTTTAAGAAGGAACACCAAACATAGTTTAAAAAGGAAAATTTCAGATTTGGCAAGAAAATTTTTATATTATTGAATTATTTTCCCTCCATGGTCATTTTGTCCAACTTCTAAAGGAACCCTTCACACTATTTAAATCAAATTATTTTTTAAAAAATTAATGGAAAAAATTACATACATTTACAATTTAAATAACTTTATTAAAACATTATATATATTTTTTAAATTACTTCAAATTTTAAAACAACACAAGCCCAGTCTAGGCCCTGTTAGTTAATACTGGTTTCCTCATGTGCATAGCCC